GTGACGTCTCTAGATGGCCGGCGATCATGAGAAAACAAGCGTCAAGAAAGATGGACAGGAGAAACTAATCTCTTGCTCAAGGGGGGGGTGGGGGGGGGGGCGGCTGTCGGAGACGCCTGTGTGACGCCCCGCGACCCGCCACTGACGCATGTCAAATGTTTTCTTGAACTACACCCAATACGATTTGGTTGGCTGGTCGCAATAGTCAGTTTTGTAGTGTACAAAGTAAGGTCGGGGCTTGGATGTGGGGAGGGGGGGAGTGCAAAATGGGGTCGGGGGTGGCTACACATTGATATTTCCACATACCTTTTGTCCCAATAATTCTCCAAACCTGTTTTGGCCGTGTCCGTGTCGCTATTTATAGCAGACCGGTCCTGGTTGTCCTTAGTTTTCACTGGTCGTGTGCGTCCCGCCGACTGACGTCTTGTGTTAGATCTGACATCGCTCTAACAAGCCGGTCGTAAGGGTGGCCACACTGAGAAGCCGTGCTGTGTGTATACGTGTAACTGGACATTCTGTGTTTGTACCGAGTTGGATACTTTATGATGTACGTCAGGGTGAGTGCTGCGTACCTGGATACTTTATGATGGTTAGGGTCAGGGTGAGTGCTGCGTACCTGGATACTTTATGATGGTTAGGGTCAGGGTGAGTGCTGCGGACCTGGATCCTTTATGATGGTTAGGGTCAGGGTGAGTGCTGCGTACCTGGATCCTTAATAAAAGACGCTAAGTGATTGGGGGGGGGGGGCGCGCTCGTAGGTGATGAGTTTCATGGAAAGGTAACTTGTTGATGGAAAGGTAACTTGTTGGTGTAAAGGTAACTTGTTGATGTAAAGGTAACTTGGTGTAAAGGTAACTTGGTGTAAAGGTAACTTGTTAGTGTGATGGCAACTTGTTAGTGTGATGGCAACTTGTTAGTGTAAAGGTGACATGTTCGTGTAAATGCAAGCTTGATAGCATACATATTTTCGTGAAGCTAGCATGATATTGTGAAGCTAACCAAATGTCCTAGAGCAGGCCCGCGACGTAACGAAATATTCTTTATTCTTATTATTTTGTTAATAGCTTTCCCCCCTGTCCTATTTTCTTTTGGGCCGCACAAGATTTTCATCAAGTATTAGGGCCCGCCTTACATTTTGAGCTGTGCAGGGCTGCCCTAAAGCTACCTTGAGATACCGTGAAGCTAACTCTATATTATCAAGCTAAGACGAGACCGTTAAGCTGAGTAGACGTTTTAAGCCAAGCATGTAACGACTCCTGTCATTGGGAGATGGACGCTGGCAGTGACGGATCTAGTGGAAAAACGGGTCAGAGGGCATGGGTCACTAACGCGCCGTATAGCGAGGGCCAGAGGGCTTGGGTCACTAACGTGTCGTATAGCGAGGGCCAGGGGGCATGGGTCACTAACGTGTCGTATAGCGAGGGTCAGAGGGCATGGGTCACTAACGTGTCGTATAGCGAGGGTAAGAGGGCATGGGTCAGTAACGTTCCGTATAGCGAGGGCCAGAGGGCATGGGTCACTAACGTGTCGTATAGCGAGGGTCAGAGGGCATGGGTCACTAACGTGTCGTATAGCGACGGTCAGTGTATAGCGAGGGTAAGAGGGCATGGGTCAGTAACGTTCCGTATAGCGAGGGCCAGAGGGCATGGGTCACTAACGTGTCGTATAGCGAGGGTCAGAGGGCATGGGTCACTAACGTGTCGTATAGCGAGGGTCAGAGGGCATGGGTCACTAACGTGTCGTATAGCGAGGGTCAGAGGCCATGGGTCACTGGTCTGTTGTATAACGCACACAACTGAATGAGGGGCTGAAGGACTTTCTCTTGTTCCATTCATTTCACACCGCAAGAGCATTAGCCCAGTGACGTCACTGCCATCCACCAGCTGATGCATAATTGAATGGCTCCCAACTAATCCTGCATTCAATCATCAAACATGATCGATCTGGGCTTTCTATTGGAATAGGCGGTCTCTGCATGCTATGGAAGTCTATGCATCGTATGGCGATCCCTGTATGGTATGACAGTCCCTGTATGGTGTGACAGTCTCTGCATGGTATGACAGTCTCTGCATGGTATGGCGCCTTCGGCATGGTATTGCGCCCTCAGCATGGTATGGCGCCCTCGGCATGGTATGGCAGAGACAACAAAGACATTTTATAACCCAAGCCATTGTCACATTTCAACCATTCCATTTAGTGTGACAGATTAATGGGGAGGGAGTAGGGTGGCCGGTGACACATTGGTGGAGGTGAGCTTGGCACTTGTCATTTTTAGTATGCCACTTTGATCTGTCACGATTGGACATTTGATAAAATGGCGTCCAACTTTTTGTCTTCTCTCCGCATAGGCGTAACTAGGGTTAGTACTCCCCGGGCTAGCCAAGCTATTTGACGCCCCCTACCCCACGAAAAAAGAATGCAGTTCGTCGAAAATGCCACCCCTCACTATAAGGAAAAAAAAATGCCGCCCCGGACGGACCGCCCCATTGGCACCCCCTCCCTTTCCCACGCCACTACGTCTTTCCCTTTTCTATGGCCAAGGGTGGAGGTTTTACCGACGCCTCTGAAAAGTCACATGATATTTGTATGTTCGCGCCGTGCGTCCCTCTACCTGGCCGTCGTTTGGGGCCACACCCGTTGTAAGGCCGGTCCTAGTTCTGTCTTACGAGAGAGCCGCGCCCTTGACCTCAGCTAATGAGCAAACTGGACGGCAGGAAGAACGGCAGTGTGATCAGTGTGTACATTACCGTTGCTTGAATTGGTCCACTCTTACAGTGTCCACACAACCTGTCACTGTCAGCACAACCTGTCACTGTCCGCACAACCTGTCAGTGTCAGCACAATCTGTCACTGTCCGTACAACCTGTCAGTGTCAGCACAACCTGTCACTGTCCGTACAACCTGTCAGTGTCCGTACAATCTGTCACTGTCCGTACAACCTGTCAGTGTCCACACAACCTATTAGTGTCCACACAACCTGTCAGTGTCAACACAACCTGTCACTGTCAGCACAACCTGTCACTGTCAGCACAACCTGTCACTGTCAGCACAACCTGTCAGTGCCCCGGCACAACCTTTTAGTGCTCGCACAACCCGTGTTACAACCCCTCATTAAGTCATTCCCTTTGGGCAGCACTGCCCAATCACCCCAACGGGCATAATCCGGTCCGGTGTCTTCGATCTGGCACCAGCCTAGTTACCGCCCTTTGATACACCCGCCGCCAAACATAGATCCACCCCCCCCCCCTCTTTTCTCTCTCTCCGTTTGATTCAAGATAAGAAGCAAGAAAAGGTAAACAGACACAAAAGCCCCACTGGCCGAACCCACCGGAGATTACGAGGGCCCAGAAACATGATGTCTGTTACGTCGTGTAGGCGTAAGGACGGTCTATTTTCAAGACGGTGTGGCGTAACTCTTTTATGGGGTTTATTAGTGGACGTTTTGTGTGTGTGTGTAATTACCTGGAAGATTCCTTTTTCTCCTGATCATATCGAGGTAAGGATCAGTGCCTCGAGTGGCACGCACATTTATGGCGTAAGACTACGTCGTAAAGCTTAGCCGTACTACTAGCACAATGTAAGTAAACAGTCGGTACAGCTTAGCCGTACAGTGTAAAATGCGGGTAAAAAGTATGTGTGTCAGTTAGTCTAAAGATTTTGTTGACATGTGCTCAGCGCTTTAGTGGTGTGTGTGTGTGTATGGGGGGGGGGGATGGGAGGAATTGTGCACAGGTATAATATTAGAAGAATCAGGGGCGTGACTTAAATCTCTGACAGGATGTCAGGTTTTTATCTTTGACAGAAGCTATTTCGTATCTTTTAACAAGGTACCCCTAAATATTAGGGCCTAAAAGTTAAATACAAGTGGACCTGAGATCTGGGTGTGCGACCCCGACTCTTGTTTTATGCTGATTGATCGACGTGACCCGATGTGACCCTCCCCCCCCAGAGCAGTTGTGCACATAGCGCAGAAACCAAAGCGTTAACAATCCTCGGGCTGATCAATAGCGTGGCACAAGTGACATAATGGCTGAAGATTTGCTTCAGTGATTTCCAGCTGGTGCGAGATCAATCTGCTCTTAGAACGTCTTGGTGGCTCCTGGCGGCTTGGCGGCTCCTGGCCACGGCTTGGTGGCTCCTGGCCACGTCTTGGCGGCTCCTGGCCACGGTTTGGGCTAGTAAGAATCGCCTTGATCACTTACCAGTCAAGCACTGTATCACTTTAACACCAGTGACCCACTGTATTATTATTTTTTTTTCCACCCTTGATGAACGCCTCACCTCTGAATGCCTAGAGAGACAGACATGTTGTGAGGACGTGACCGCAGTTGGTTGAAGAAGTTTTGCTCTTTAACTGAGTTGATCGTACATGAAACTGGAATCCTCAAGGACAAAGGGGAGAGGGGCGCTCTCGCGACCATCGCTTGCACCCCTCCGCCCCCCCCCCCATGGCTACGCCAGATGACCAGAGTACGATTCCAGCCTAAAGGATTCCGTACGTGGTGAACCCGTGCAGACGTGTAGGGATGTTTTATACCCTTGATCACATCAGATACAGGTTAATGTACGCTTATCTCTAGGATACGTCTTTCACTCTGTGATACGTCTTTTACTCACTGATAAGTGATTTGTGATTAACCTGCTAACCCGGAAGCTCTTTTACGACTTTATGTGTGGACGACTTGTCTGCGCCATAAACATACGACTTGGCCCACCTCAGATCTGTCATCAGATATACAGATCAGTACACTTATCAGACATATAGTTGTCAGTTCACTTCTCAGACATATAGTTGTCAGTTCACTTCTCAGACATATAGTTGTCAGTTCACTTCTCAGACATATAGTTGTCAGTTCACTTCTCAGACATATAGTTGTCAGTTCACTTCTCAGACATATAGTTGTCAGTTCACTTCTCAGACATATGATATCGTTAAGACTTGAATTCACCAGACCAGTTTTGTGTAATGTTTTTTTTTTTGGTGCTCATTTCTCTTCTCAGCTTTCGTGGGAACAACACACGACGATGACGTCATTGACCAACGCATCACATCTCCACGTGCTGCACTAACAGGTTCACGTTTCGACGACTGGCCCCGCCCCCCCCCCAACACCACACCCCCACCCACACCGCCACAGACGGAAGTACACGGCACCAAAAAGGGGAGCCAACCTAAGAATGTCCGCGGTCGAGGAGATGGGGATAGTCCTCCAGCACGACATCGACGAGCAGTACCAGTACCAGCCCGGGGAGATCATCAGGGGCCACATCAACGTCAAGCTGTCCCGACCCACGGCGATCAGGTCCATCAATGTCAAGGTCAGTCACGCACCCGAGCCTGTCAGGTTCGGTGACTTTGTATTTAAATTAAACCCGAAGAATAGTAGCCACTTAGAGAGGTAGCCACTTAGAGAGGTAGCCACTTAGAGAGGTAGCCACTTAGAGAGGTAGCCACTTAGAGAGGTAGCCACTTAGAGAGGTAGCCACTTAGAGAGGTAGCCACTTAGAGAGGTAGCCACTTAGAGAGGTAGCCACTTAGAGAGGTAGCCACTTAGAGAGGTAGCCACTTAGAGAGGTAGCCACGCAGAGAGGTAGCCACGCAGAGAGGTAGCCACTTAGAGAGGTAGCCACGCAGAGAGGTAGCCACTTAGAGAGGTAGCCACGCAGGCTTCAGGCTCCGTAAGCCATAATTTATGACTTACTTTCATTAAAAATCATCCGGTTTACTGCTGGCGGTAACGTTGACTGCAGTCAAAGAAAACGTTGCCAAAAAATAAATGAGTCGCGAGCGAATCGACGCACTGCCTGCACCATCGTGAGGACGTTGTTGTAAAGGAAAAAAAAAAAACTTGATTATTCCGCAAATGTAAAGACAAGTCTCGATAAATGTTGAGGACTAAACTCAGATACACAAAACCATGACATAATAAACATGACATAATAAATACATGACAATGAACACATTACACAATACACATGTTACTTTGACCTGAGACGTTCATATGATAACCCCCCCCCCTCCAAACTTTTCGAAAATGCGTCATATAACTTCTTTGATATTTTACACTTTCATTTTTTCATGGCTGTTAACAATACACCGAGATTAGTCTCCAATAATCCAGTTTAATCTCCAATAATCCAGTTTAATCTCCACTAACCCAGTTGAATCGTGTCTTTGTCCAGGTATACGGTGAGGGCAACGTCAGTTGGAAGGACGAGGAGGAGCAGGTGTTCCAGGCCAAGGAAGTGTACGTGGACGCGATCAAGGCCGTGGTGGACACGACGCACCTCGAGCCCCTCAGCCTGCCCAAAGGGCAACACGACTTCCCGTTCGACTACATCCTGCCCGAGAACATCCCGAGCTCTTACATCGGCAAGTACGGCAACGTCACCTACACCATGAGGGCCACCGTCGCCGGCGTGAAGAGCTCCGACGCGTCCATCTCCAGCGAGCCGTTCCTCGTGCTGCGCCGAGCGGCGATTCCCGCGGCGGCCATGCAGCCGCTGACCCTGAAGAAGGAGAAGAGGATGTGGGCGTCCTGCACGTTCGGCAACCTGTACGTCAGCGTGTCCCTGGACAAACAGGGCGGGGTGCCCGGCGAGGACATCTTCCTCAAGGCGGAGATAAAAAACCACAGCAGGCGCACCGTGACGGCCATGCAGGCGGCGCTGCTCATGAACAGCGTCTTCCGGGCTCAGAGCCACCAGACGGACTTCCGGCAGATCGTCAGCAAGAAGCGGGACGAGTTCGAGGTCTCGCACATGGAAGGGAGGCGGTGGACCTTCGTCCGGCTGCCGCTGCCGCCCTACATCCCGGAGTCGAAGCTGGAGTTTTGCGAGTTCATCGAGCTCGACTACGTCTTCCAGTTCCGGGTGGAGCTCGCGGGTGGATCAGAGATTCGGATGGAGGCGCCGTTCTGGGTGGGCGGCCTGCCCCAGGGCCTCGAGGTGCCGGCCGACGAGAAAGCCGGCCTCAAGATCAACCGGCAGTGGACCGTGCGGGGGTCGAAAGGACTGGATTTCTCGGACATTACGGAGGAGTCGAAAATGGAATACGATGAGGGGTGGGGGGTAGAGGTGGTGCCAGAGATGAGGTCGGAGTCGGCCGTCATCAGCAATCCGCTCTTCCGTCAGAACTCTTTCTTACAGAAGGGAGTTAAGGTGATCCCGGAGGAATTCATAGAAAACACAAAGTTGTGACAAGTGTGACAGATGAACTGCTGTGGTGGATGTGCCACTGACAGTTGTGATAAGTGTGACAGATGCACTGCTGTGATGGATGTGACACTGAAGGTTGTGACAAGTGTGACATATGAATCGCTGTGACAGATGTGACACTGACAGTTGTGACACTGTGACAGACGTGACGTGACCGTGTGAGAGTGGAGACCATGTGACATCATGAGACCACTTGGCAGACTCAGTGACACCATGAAGATGTGATCGCGCGCGCATAGAATATCACGTGACAATGACAAACACGTGACATCGGTGACATGTTAATGAGGTTTGATGAAATTAAGCTCTGCAACCTAACAATGAAATGTCACAATGACCAGTATGGACCAATTGGCATGTCAACAAAACCTATTATATTATAGGCCAATGACATTAAAAAAAAACCAGTATGGACCGATGAAATGTTAACATAACCCAGTATGGACCAGTGAAATGTCACCATGACCCCAGTATGGACCAATGTATCAAGCATAATTCTGTGAACAGGACGCCTTACAACTTTGCCGACGGTATTATGCAACCCATTCCAAACATCTGGGAGACAGAAGATTCAAAGACTCTGTATGTGTTGATTTAAAACTATAAGCAATATTTATTTTTATTATTAAACAATGAATTATAGCAAAACAAATGTTTGAATATTTTTTGTATCAATATTTTCAAAGCATAAAATACATATTTCCCACTTGTATGACATTTTCTTAGTGTGTATTGAAACTATAGTTGCTTGTTTCGTTAAAAAAAAGATTTCATGACTTAGAGTTTTGAGGACAGTTGAATACAATAGCAGCTACATGACTCCGCATAATTACACTTACATCCCTTGCACAATTACACTGTCAATAGCTGCTGTTCTATCAACACCTAACTAACTCCCCAATGGCTATTGATACGGCAACTGTCAATAGCTGCTGTTCTATCAACACCTAACTCTCTCCCCAATGGCTATTGATACGGCAACTGTCAATAGCTGCTGTTCTATCAACACCTAACTAACTCTCCAATGGCTATTGATACGGCAACTGTCAATAGCTGCTGTTCTATCAACACCTAACTAACTCCCCAATGGTTATTGATACGGCAACTGTCAATAGCTGCTGTTCTATCAACACCTAACTAACTCCCCAATGGCTATTGGTACGGCAACTGTCAATAGTACTGTTCTATCCGCACGTATCAGACATAGACTAACGTCTTAGTCTTGTCATTCTGTTATGATGCACACTAAGACTTCCTTCATACATACAATACAACTATTTTATAAGCATAACGGAGAGTTACTTTGTTCTAGATTTGTTGTATAGTGTTCTATATTTGTTATGTGTATAGTGTTCTATAATTTGTTATGTGTATAGTGTTCTAGATCTGTTTATTGTGTAGTGCACTAGATGTTTTTATAAGTATTGTGTTCTAGAATTTATATGTATATAGATAGTGTTCTAGATCTCTTATATGTAAAGTGTTCTAGATTTGTTATATGCATAGCATTCTAGATTTGTTCTAAGCATTGTGTTCGAGAATTTTTCTAATTATAGTGTTCTAGATTTGTTCTAAGTATAGTGTTTTAGATTTGTTTTAAGTATAGTGTTCTAAATCTGTTGTATGCATGGCATTCTAGATTTGCTCTAACCATAGTGTTCTAGATTTGTTCTCATTATAGTGTTCTAGATTTGTTCTCATTACAGTGTTCTAGATGATATTGACACAAACAATTTCTTTAAAAATAATAATAGTATAATAGAAATACGTTTTTGTAAGTGAATAACAAAAATATCAAGCTATGTAGATTGTTCTAGATTTGTTCTATGTACATTGTTCTAGATTTGTTCTATGTAGATTGTTCTGGATTTGTTATGTGTATATTGTTCTATATTGTTCTCTGTAGATTGTTCTAGAATGTTTTGTGCAGATTATCTAGATTTCTTCTATGTACATCGTTCTGGATTTGTTCTATATAGATCGTTATAGATTTGTTCCAATGTACATTGCTCTGGATTTGTTCTATGTATATTTTTCTAGATTTGTTCTATGTACATTGTTCTAGATTTTTATATGTAGATTATTCTGGATTTGTTCTGTGTATATTGTTCTAGATTGTTCTGTGTAGATTGTTCTAGAAAGTTCTATGTAGATTATCTAGTTTTCTTCTATGTACATCATTCTGGATCTGTTCCATATAGATGGTTATAGATTTGTTCTATGCACATTGTTTTGGATTTGTTCTATGTAAATTGTTCTATATGTAGATTGTTCTAGATTTGTTAATAGTTAGATTGTTTTAGATTTGTTATGTGTTAGTTTGTTCTAGATTTGTTCGTGTTAAATTGAGCTGAATATTTGATTCGTGGACCAGTTGAAATAAAATTTATGTAATTTACTTTCTTTCCCTTACGTTATAGGTATCCATTGTGATACTGTAAACATAACACTTGCTTTGAAATAAACGGTGAGGTCACAGGTTTCCATGGTGATACTATAAACAAAACACTTCCTTTGAAATGACTGGTGAGGTCACGGGTTTCCATGGTGATACTATAAACATAACACTTCCTTTGAAATGACTGGTGAGATATTTTGGCCCATTTGGGGTCGCGAAGTGTTGCCTATGGGGTCACCAAGGGTTTTGTATGGGGTCCCAAAGAGTTTTATATGGGGTTGCAAAAGGTTTTGTATGGGGTCCCAAAGGGTTTTGTATGGGGTCCCAAAGGGTTTTGTATGGGATCCCAAAGGGTTTTGTATGGGATCCCAAAGGGTTTTGTATGGGATCCCAAAGGGTTTTGTATGGGGTCCCGATGGGTTTTGTATGGGGTCGCAAAGGGTTTTGTATGGGATCCCAAAGGGTTTTGTATGGGATCCCAAAGGGTTTTGTATGGGATCCCAAAGGGTTTTGTATGGGATCCCAAAGGGTTTTGTATGGGGTCCAAAAAGGTTTTGTATGGGGTTGCAAAGGGTTTTGTATGGGGTCCTAAAAGGGTTTTGTATGGGGTCCCAAAGGGTTTTGCATGGGATCCCAAAGGTTTTGTATGGGGTCCTGAAGGGTTTTGTATGGGATCCCAAAGGGTTTTGTATGGGGTCCCGAAGGGTTTTGTATGGGGTCCCGAAGGGTTTTGTATGGGATCCCAAAGGGTTTTGTATGGGGTCCCGAAGGGTTTTGTATGGGGTCCCAAAGGGTTTTGTATCAATCTAATAAATGATACATGCACTCTCAATTGCTTCCACACAAATCTGTGTGAGGGAATACATATAATTTTGTGTGAGAGAATCCACACATCTCTTTGTGATGGAATTCACACATCTCTGTGTGGGGGAATACATATATCTTTGTGTGAGGGAATCACACATCTCTTTGTGATGGAATTCACACATCTCTGTGTGAGGGAATACATATATTTTTGTGTGAGGGAATCCACACATCTCTTTGTGATGGAATTCACACATCTCTGTGTGAGGGAATACATAGATTTGCAGAAAACAAAGAAAAAGGGGTGTGTATGTCTATATGTCGTCTATACACATACGAGAGGTGTATGTCTATATGTTGTCTACATGTCGTCTATATACATAAGAGAGGTGTATGTGTATGTCATCTATATACCTAAGAGAGGTGTATGTCTATATGTCTTCTATATACATAAGAGATGTGCATGTCTATATGTTGTCAATATACGTAAGAGATGTGTATGTCTGTATGTCGTCTATATACATAATACATACGAGAGGTGTATGTCTATATGTCGTCTATATCCATAAGAGAGGTGTATGTCTATATGCTGTCTATATCCATAAGAGAGGTGTATATCTATATGTCGTCTATATACATAATACATAAGAGAGGTGTATGTAATATATGTTTTCTATATCCATAAGAGAGGTGTAAATCTATATGTTGTCTATATGTCGTCTATATACGTAAGAGATGTGTATGTCTCTATGTCGTCTATATTTATTTATTTATTTATTTAGGCATTTTTATATAGCGCTTATCATAAAGCTCTAAGCGCTTTACAATTATTAAAAACATGTAAACTAAGTAAATACAAATGAGACACTAGGATAGTAACTACTATTCTATAGAAACAATGAAAATGGCTATAAAACGAAGACACTTTGGCACTTCAGGATCAACCCGAAACAGAAAATGAGGTAGGGCAAGGAGGGTGCATCACAGGTCATAGGCGGACCTAAACAGATGAGTTTTAAGGGACTTTTTGAAAATGGACGAGGTTTCACTATGACGTATATGGAAGTGGAGCTGGTTCCAGAACGTGGGCCCATGGAAGTAGAAGGAGCGTTCACCGATGGTCTTAGTTTTGGTTCTTGGGATTGAGAGGGTTCTACTGTCAATGGAAGAACGTAGTTGTCTTGTGGGGATGTAAGGAAGCAACAGTTCAGAGAGATAGACAGGAAAGTGAGGGTCAGTGAACGAGTTGAAGCATAGATTGGCAGACTTGTACTTGATGCGAGAGGATATTGGAAGCCAGTGGAGTTGCCGCATGTGTGGTTGAATGTGGTCATGTTTCTTTGATTTAAAAATGAGTCTGCATGCTGAGTTCTGTGCCTTCTGAAGTTTTTCTATGTGGTGTTGAGGAATGCCTGAGAGAAGAATGTTACAGTAGTCAAATTTTGAAAGAATGAGTGAAGAGACGAGAGTTTTTGTGGCATCAAAGGAGAGGAGGTGTCTAATGGTGCTGATTTTTCTAATTTCGTTATATGCTGATCTGCATATATTCGTGACATGTTTGTCCATGGAGAGGGTGTCCGTAAGCGTGACTCCAAGGTTTCTGGCAGAGGGAGAGAGTGTGATGTCAGAGTTGCCAATAGATATAGAAGAAGGAGCGAATGGAGGGAGAGGTTTGTTTTGAGAGTGGATGAGAAGGATTTCCGTTTTATCATCATTTAGCTTCAGTTTGTTGCAAGTCATCCAACGCTTTACATCGTCCACGCACTCCTGTATGCGAAGGATTGTGGCATCAAGTTGATCAGGAAAGCAAGAGTCACTGATTTGAGTGTCATCAGCAAAGGATTGACTGGAAACTGAGTGGTGGCTAATGAGAGATGATAGAGGTTTAGTGTAGAGGATGAAAAGGACCGGCCCAAGGACCGATCCTTGAAGAACTCCAATAGACAGGGCTGAAGGTTTGGAAGAGCGGTTGGAAATAGAGACTTTTTGAGTTCTGTCAGAAAGATATGATTGAAACCAGTTTAAAGCTGAGCCAGTAAGTCCGAAAGAAAGATGAAGGCGGTCAAGAAGAATCTGGTGGTCAATGGTATCAAATGCAGCAGAGAGATCTAACAGAGTGAGAATAGAGAGTTTGCCATCGTCTATCGCGCGCAGGAGGTCACTCATGACTCGGACCAGTGCTGTTTCTGTGCTATGACCAAGTCGGTATAAGAGATGTGTATGTCTCTATGTCGTCTTTATATATAAGAGATGTGTATGTCTCTATGTCGTCTCTATACCTAAGGCAGGCTCATGCACACACCTGTTGACAAAGACACTAGACTTAATGAATGCAATGAATGCCCTTCTGTCATTGTTTCCTCAATCTGACACAGGTGTGTCTAGTAAACACATCTTCATGTGTCAACAATCCATGTGTCAACAACACACAGAGTTGGGACTACGCCTAAGAGTCTTTTATAGTAGCAAAGAAACATGGATTTGGGACTACGCCTAGGAGTTGTTTATAGTAGCAAAGAAACATGGATTTGGGACTACGCCTAGGAGTCGTTTATAACAAGACTAGGACACAAAGAGTTTTTACTTTTTAGTGAACCTCCCCTAAATCCACCCCACCTCCTTTCCCCCCCCCCCCCCCCCCACCCCCGCCCTCTACGCCCCCCCCCCCCCACCCCCCCCATAAAGAAACATGGATTTGGGGCTACGCCTAGGAGTCGTTTATAACAAGACCAGGACACAAAGAGTTTTTACTTTTTAGTGAACCCCCCCCAAATCCACCCCCCCCCCCTTCCCCCCCCCCCCCGCGGTCTCAAGGGTCTAGGCCAGCCTCCTTACAGCCCCCTTACAATGTCCTGCCATGCAGACGACGACTTCCCTCCCATAAGTTGGCTTCGGTGACACTCGATACACCCGCAGCCACCATAATATTGAGTCAAGGGATGTTGCTCTTCTATTCATCCCGTGCTTTCCAACGGGACTGGTGCACGAATCGTCCAGAGGCGTGTCGCCAGATGTCAATAGGAAAGGGAATCAAACAAATGCGTCACGTCTTCTCGGACGTTTTGGCTGTTGAGAACGATGACGACGAAAGTAG